ATGAGCTGGGACTATATTAACTCTCCAAAGGGACCAAATCTCAGAAAAAGCAAATCTGTCCTTTAACCTGATGCAGCAGATGGTTTGTTTCACAGAAACATCTGGGAGAGCCTCTACAGAAACTGTTTGGAAAAGGTCAGGCACCTTTAAAAATACTTAGCAACTGATGGAATGAGGTATCTGTCAAAGTCAAAACAGGACCTCGACGAACCCCCACCCCCCGCCCCCCTTTCTGTTGGACTACAGGAAGTCCAACAGAACACGTCAGCCATCAAAAGACCTCATACCTGCTGGTACATGAAGCTTAACCACCTGAACTTTGCTGTTTCTTTTCTGCTTTTGATACAGCAATACAAACAGGATCAAACTCATTCATATGACCGGGATCCATCCCATCAAACTAAAAACATATTAACCCTTTATAGGGCACTCAGTGAAATACTTTGAAAATCTAAATTTAAAGCCAATTGTGTTATTGGAATCCAGGAAAACACCTTATTACCTTTGTTACATAAAAAGAAAAAAAAGGACATTTTGATGGCAAATATTAATGTCAATGTAATAACAAGAAATGTCAACTTGCACGCATATATTAAGAAAAATAGTGCATCTATTCATGAAAAACACTGAGAGTGAAACAAACACATCAGGTACAGCCACGTAGCAGTATCTTCGCTGAATGGCTGGATATAGATCTTGTGCTTCTAGACCTCACTGAGGGAGGTGATCAAAAATGGTAACCTGAACTATAAAGGTTTAATAACTATCAGGCGTCTGCAGAAGCATTTCTATAATATTCAGTTTTATTGGTCAACCAGCTGCTAACATTTGTGGAAAATAAGATTATTTAGGAGAACATTGGTCTGTTTAAAAACAGATCCTCATTAAAGACAAAGTCGTTTCCTGCTGGATCGGACATTTTTGGTGACTTCTACCACGACTTTTTGGTTGAATAATTGAGCTGTTTGCCACTTTGACAAAAGTTTGGATGTTGATATATTATCACCTCCGTTTTTTTAACTATCCCATGGACATCTATACACTCCCCAAAGCACACAGGCATAGCTTAAGGGTTTTAGGAGCTATGCTTTCATCTCGTATCTTAGGGCCCTTCCACTCCCCATTAGGTGGGGGGAGGGATGGAGAACTGATTTGGAAGCTTCGACTTTTCATGGCTTCTTTTCTTTCAAAACAAAAGATTATTCAATTATTGTTTGTAATAGACATTTTCCCCCTTTGCCGACCCTCAGACAGGGCAGGAGATCAAAGACAGCTTTGTCTTTTATAGGCCAATGGAGCTGAAGTCTGGTGCATACCAGCTCCCAGGTTTTATTTAAGGTTACTTGAGGGCCAAAAGGCTGCGGAAGAAGACAGAGATCTGAGCTGTGATAACAGTGGAGGCTAAGAACATAGCAGTGAAAGAGGGACTCTACTTGTTCTGCATGAGAAAGATGTCATTAGATTTAACTACATGAAGATCAGATTTTAATTATATAGAAAAGATCCTGGATGGGGCCTGACAGCAATTGTGAGATGAATTGATTTCATTTACACAATGAACTAAAAAAGCAATGACACTTAAGGATAAAAAGTGTTTCTCATGTGCAAAAATATGGCAGAATTAGATGCACCTGCTTTAGCACAGGAGTGGGCATTGTTTTCTCTCTCAGGGGCCACTTCCGTTTCCAATAAATCATCTGAGAGTCACACTAAAAATGTAAATAGCGTGATAATGCAACAATTATAAATGTATTAAATCATGGTCTTAGTTGTATTTGTTTTGAAAACATTTGTAAATTTTTGTGTTGGGATGTGGTTTGAATTTTTCATCAAGTTAATTACAAGGTCTGCTATCGCAATAATCGCATTCAATCTAAAGCTATAAATGAACAAAACTAAACCAAATTTTCAAGTCAAAAACCCGTTTTGATGCTAAAATGTTGAAGAAATAATCATATGAGCACAGCAACACATGCCTTTAATCGTTTATTTATGGTATTGAACCGTTAGATTGGTTGAAAGTTATAATACTTGAGCTTTATTTTTTAAAAACTGGATATTTTTTGCTTTTTTCTTTGGAAAAAAAATCTCCTCTATAGAAGTGTGATCAGTCTGTAAACATTAATTGTAGCACGATTCCTTCCACTAACTATTGTAAAACAGGAAATATAGCAATAAGGCATAAATAAATTGCCTGCAAAAGGGAATATAAGCTTCATTTCTACTACTGAACGGACTATGCCAGTTAAGCTCTGCACAGATCTTTGCCTTTAGGAGTCTAACAAATGCTATTCAATATGGAGCGTTAAGTGGATTGATTGCAAAAAAAAAAAAGCTTGTCTTTGATTGGCGATTGGTGCGATTTATTTTTTATACAGTTAAACAAGTCACGATCACAGAGATCAGGCAGAGCACAGTGAGTGTGCGCAGAAATCGTCAATCGAGCAAAATAAGGACCACGGGTGGTGAATTTTAGTTTGCCAGAGTTGACCTCGAGGCAGAACAGGTTTGAGCGATGGGGGTAGGCGTGAGTACTGGCATGTGTGTTGCGATATTATACATTTCCCAATATAATATCACTATATTGCACTATCACTTTATGTTGCAATATTCTTTCTAGCTATCCCAATTACATTTTCGACAATCCATCCATTCATCCATTTTCTTATGCTTTATCCGGGGCCAGGTCACAGAGGCAGCGGTTTAAACAGAGATGCCCAGACTTCCCGATCAACACACACCTCCTCCAGCTGCTCTGGGGGGACCCTGAGGCGACACCAGGCCAGCTCAGAGACATAGTCCCTCCAGTGTGTCCTGGGCCTTCCACAAGGTCTCCTGCCAATGGGACATGCCTGGAACACCTCCCAAGGGAGGCGACCAGGAGGCATCTGGAACAGATGCCCGAGCCCACTCAGCAGGCTCCTTTCGACGTAGAGGAGCAAAGACTCTACTCAGAGCTCCTCCAGGATAACTGAGCTCCTCCCCCGTTCTAGAAGGGTGCGCCCAGCCACCCTGTGAAGGATATTCATCTAATTATTTAGTTTATTTACAACTGATCACATATTAAATGTTTGAATCATGTATAACAGAGGCCACGGACTAGCGGACCACGGTCCGGATCTGGACACACCTGCTGGCTAATCCGGACCCAACCTGATTTAAAACATTTAATGCATTTACTGCATGTTGTCCAATCACACTGTCTAACTTCACTTGCCCCACTTCTCCTGTTAATGCGGTAAAGCCCTCCATAGCGTTCGGCATCAGGCTACATGTGATACACCTTAGCCAATGAGCTGCTGTCAGTCTGGGTTGCTGCTGCTGCTACTTTTAGACACAGCAGGCAAACCTGTGGCAAGCCGGGCGATGGGAAAGAAGGAGAAGATGATGAGAAAAAGAGNAAGCAGGATTCTCCACTAGGGCTGGGTAAAAAAATCGATTTAATCGATATTGAATCGATTCCTTTACATTTTTGCAAAATCGATGTCTAGAGAATGAGATCGATTCACTTTATTGTGACCCACGTGACATTCATATTCAAAGGTGCAGGAAAGATGCACTCAAGATTACTTCAAGCCAGACAGCTGCAAATATACCCAATAGGTTGACTGAAGACATTAACAAAGGTCCAGAAAACACCCTGTAGTTGTTACAGACAATGCTGAAAATATGGTTTGTGCAGAGGAGATAATGCAGCCCACGCATATCTGCTGTGTCACGTCTGCCTGCTCGAGTGAGGCTTCACTTTTTCACTTTTCACAAACAAGTTTGCACTTATGAGACAGTTTTGTTCACATCTCATGATTTAACTGTCTGATTTAAAAGTTTGCACTTTGTGTTTAATGTGAAAGTAAAAAAGAAAATAAATTAGTATTTTAAAACACAGTTGAACCACTTTAATTATTGTAAAAACAGATCGAATTGAAATTAATCGATTTAGAACTGTATGAATCAAAGTTGAATCGATTCAAGACTTTAGCGAAAATACCCAGGCCTATTCTCCGACATGAAAAGAAACAAAAATAAATATGGATCCAGGCTCAGAATGAGCTCCTTGATATGTGCTTTAGAATGGCTTTGTCTCCATTCAAACCCAGGTTTAAAGCCTTGCAGGGCAGCATAAAGCCCACTGCCAACATTAAGACAGAAAAAAGAAAGAAAATGGTCAGTTCAGGTGTTTTATTAAAAAAAAGTGAGCCGGGAAATTGTCTATTTACCAAACTGAAAGATTTTTGTTCTCTACTTCAAAAACAATTTAGATTTTAGAATTATTTAAAAATTCAATGTATAACAGATGCATAATCATTTTATTTATGCATAAGCATTTTATTTCAGTGTTAAATTCTGTTTAAACTAACGGATTATAATTAACAGTGTCTCCGGACCTTTACTGGTTGTTGATTTTCTTTATCCAGACCCTGCTGAGTTTTAATTGGTTACCCCTGATGTGTAAGATAAATAAGTAAATAAATACATAAATAAATATTCCATCTTTTTATTTTATTGTAAATTCATTTATTTCTTTATGTGTTTTTGCCCTGCATATAGCCCAGGGTTCACATCATGATTGTTAAAACCCATCTCCTGACCCCTACGTTGGGAAGCCCTGGTCTAAGGAATAACTTGCAGGAATGTTAGAACATTGTGCAGCCGAGACACGGAAAGGCCTCTAGAGAACCGGCTTATTCTTTGAATTGTTTTGTCTTAGGGATGCTTTGCCAGCTGGACTCGTCCAGAAGTGTTTTATGTTACACAACAGACGTTTTGGCTAAAAACCATGTGGTTTCACTTGCTGTTATATTGAGCTGTGTATTTATTTGGTGGTTGGACTTCCAATAATATATATTTTTAGGAATTTTCAACAGTGTTTTTATAAAAAAAAAAAAAAAAAGTTGTCTAATTTCAGAAAAATAAAAGCTTTTAGCATTTTTGATCACAGTTTGCTGAGGCAAAATCTACATGTAGCTTTATAGCGTATATAAGTTTTTCTTCATTCTTACCATCGCACCATCAGACCATGTTCCAGGAAGTTCTTTAAGTTGGGTAGCGTCTGCTGCAGGTCTGGGGTGGTCAAGCCGTGCTGATATCTCAGCTGCAACACAAGAGAAGAAAACATTACCAACACTGCGAAAAAAAAAAACCCCACACATCCAGCTCGCTGTCACCAACGTACTGTATCACTCTGAAGCATGTTACTGGCATGTTTGGAGAACAAAGAAAAAAAAAACATCCCTTATGAACACGTCTAAAGTCTACATTCTTCCTCTATGACACGTTTTTATTCCCTCCTTCAGACTATTACTCATCTGGACACACAATGGCCACCTTCCCCTGATAACAGGCATGTTGATAACGAGCAAGGTGTGCTGAAAGACAGGAGAGGAAATGTGGGCAGGAAGAAAAAAACACCTCTGATAAAACATCTGGACCAAATGGGGCTGAAAACGCTTCATGAAGCTCATTAGGTTGTCCAGCAGACTCTCCCACTGCTTTTAGCGCGCGCCCCCCCCTCATTAATCTTGGCCTTGAACAGTTTCTTGTTGCAGCTCAGCTCTTTATTTCATGATGATAGAATCTAATCCAGTAAAAAAGACACAAAAAAAACAACAAGGCCACCTTGAAGCGTAGGCTGAGGCACCAGATGTCCCCCCTCCCCTCCCTGAAGTGATGTCAGAGCAATGCCAGCCATCATCCCGTTGAGTTTATTTAACCTATGTGCCCGGACAGCAGAGGAGCATCACGCCACACATCCAGAGTATATCTCTGAGGCCCAAATGTCACACAGGACGCCTCCACCAACCCACATCTGTTCTGTTTCCTCTTGGCTACCACGGCAACCTGCTTTCCCCCCCCTACTTCCTCTGCCACACACACCTGAGACAAATCGACTCGCACAGCCCATTAAGTCATTTTAACAGGCTGTTTTTTTTTTTATACGGAGAGGATAATAGATGAATGACTTAATGATGAGAAATAAAAAAAAAAAAATAAGTAAAAAGATGGCCTCTGAGGCCTCAGGTCGCTGGTCCTGGTAAGGAAGGAATTGTTTCACACTTCATCAGGAAATTCAGGGCGTCAGCAGACCATAATGTTCATCAATATTTCACTACGGAGTATTATGGCCAGGCTAGAGATTTTTTTTTCTTCTTCTATTTCGAGAATACAGCCGTAACATTGCAAGAATAACGTCGTAAAATTATGAGAATAAAGTCACAACGAGAAAAGCCATAAAATTACAAGAATAAAGTCGTAACAATATGAGAATAAAGTAATAAAAATATGGGAATAAAGTCATAAAATTACAAGAAAAAAAGTCTTAATATTACGGGAAAAAAGTCACACCGAGAATAGTCGTAAAGTCATAATATTAAGAGAATAAAGTCCTAAAATACAGAGAAACAAGTTGTATTTTATGACAACTCTTACAAAAAGCACTTTCTTCACTAAATTGAGGAATGTCGAGCATCATGTGAAGTTATTCTTTGGCTCTGGTTCGACAAATAAGGAAATCTTTTCCCACCAGCATCAAATTGGGCAGGATGACAAAGTGGACTCAGATTGCTGATTGGTGGAGCTGGTCGGCCGTCATCTGCTGGTTGGGGCTCGAAGGTTTCTTTCTGAAACAGGTTGTTGCATGATGACTTAATTTCCCGTAATATTACAACTTTATTCTCATAATTTTATGACTTTTTCTTGTACCGTTACCACTTTATTCTCAAAAGAAAAATAAATCTCTAACCTGACCCTAATACTCCCTCGTATAACACACATCAGATTTTATGACAGAGGCTTTTTCATTTACTGATAAAACCTTTCCTAACTTTCTGAGCTTGAGCAGAAATGCTTTTTATTTATTCTAAATAAAATACTGGCATACAGTTCTTCAACAAAATCATTTACAGCTCAACTCCTGCTAATCAGTCTTTATAAGCTGCCACTATTGCATTTATAATGTTGCAAATAGTCCTTTAAAAGTTTTACAACCAATAACTAAACATGTAGCTTCGTATGATTTTGTGTTTTGGATCAAGACAACATGTGACTAAACCGTTGATTAGAAGGAAAATGAATGTAATATCATAATATTAATCTTATATAAAAAGATAAAATACAAATTGAGCAGGTTAGCGTTCATTAAGCTCCATTGTATCAATGTTAAGCGTTTCTAAATGTCAACGCAAATTAAAAACTCTATATTGATGACAAATGGAAATTAAATCATAATAGATGTAGGCAGGAAGGATTTTCACTGTGTTTAACAGTCTGATGAAGAGGACTGTCACTGCTGTCCATAATCTTCTTTACTTAAGTATTTCTAAGTGATAACTTTTCTTTGTTAAATGATCTGCAGAGGCTCAAGATGAGTTCCTATAACAGAGCTGGCCTTTTTTATTAGCTTGAGCTGTTTTAATTCACTGCAAAAAAACTAAATCTAGATAAGTCCTTTTTTCTTAAAATAAGTACATTTGTTCTTGGATTGAGGTAAAAGAGATATTTTGCCAATGGAACAAGACAATTTACACTTAAAATAAGAAAACACAATTGCATTGTCTTATTTCAAGTGCATGTTATCTAATTAACTTATTTTAAGAGTAAAATTACTCATTCCATTGGCAAACTAGCTCATTTACCTACTCAAATTAAGGATAAATACACTTAGTTTAAGAAATTTTTACTTATTTCTAGATCTTTTTTTGCAGTGATTCGATCTGATACTGTTACACCAACAGATGAAGGTGGAAGAGATCCCACTCTCCACAACACTAGAGAAGATACGAAGCACTTTGCTGCAAACACTGAGCTTCCTGTAGAAGAACAGTCTGCTCTGTTCCTTCTAGTAGATGACTTCAGTTTGTTGTCCAAGTGAACACAAGGGTGTTTATACTCCTCCACTTCTTCTCCCTTCATTTTAACAGGATTCAACTTTTTCCTGAAATTCATTGGCGCTCTGTACTCAGCTTCTTCTACATCTTTGATGCACCCAATTATTGCAGTCATCCCAGCATTTCTGGAGATGACAGGACTCTGTCTGCTACTAGAAATCAGATGTATACAGAGTAAAGAGGAATGGGGAGAGTACCGCCCCTTGTGGTGCTCTTGACTACTTGATCAGACAGCTGACCCTTCAGTCTAACAAACTGTGGTCTGTTTATCTCTGATTCCTCCACCTGAGTCTTCTGTAGTTTCTGGTTTAGCTTTCCACAAACAGACACATCTGTCCTCAAACAGTTTGGATGGATAGACAGAGTTTTCTGAACATAAATATCCAAGCTCTGTGAGATCTTGTTTAGTTTATTCATGTTTTAACTTTGACACATGGATTTAAAATAACCTAAGAAAATCAGTTGATATCTAGTACATTTCTTCCAGGACTTTAATAGGTATGGCTGCATCCATTTCGCATAGATGCCGATCATGTTCCCTATCCTAAGAGAGGAAATGCCTCCCTACAGCATAAAACTGCCCCCTACTTTCTCTATATTGTAAATTTTCAATCACAGGAAGAATCTTTAATCTTCTACAATAACATTCTTTTTTTGTAGATACCTGCAAAAAGGCTGTTGGTGATCCAATAATTCTTACTATGCAGTGAGATATATTTATTGTGTGTCTGATACTGATGCGCTTCCTCATTTAGAATATATGCGTTAAGATATATATCTGCCTGAGACCTGAAGACTCGGGACTGGTTCTAACACATTCACTAAGAAACACCAAACTGTGACTGAACTATTTCTTTTGTTGTTAAACAGAAGATTCAAATCTAAGTTCTAAGAATAGAGCTAATTAATTAGCCACATAAATTAGCATTGGGCAGCTTAAGAAGAAATCCTGTTACTTTGTGTTTAAAGAGAATTTGAAGGATGCTTAGGTTTCTTAGGCTTTGTTGAGATCATTTTTGCTGCTGTTTTGAATACGTAAAATACCTAATCCTGTGCTCTGTTTTGGCAAGTCTCATGTGATTGGCTCCAGAAACAGGAAGTTAACACACAGGCTGCAGTTCTACACCGCTTTGAAAGGAGAAAAAGTGAATCTTACTTTTATTCAGGCTGACAAATTAGAATAATTCTGGTTCATTTTACAGCCAAATATTTAACTTTTTGCTCATTTAAAACATGTGAGTGAAGTGAAAAAAATGCACCACAGATGTTTAACTAGGCAAAAACATCAGTATTATATCATATTTACATGTTAACGCACCCTGTAACAAACTGGGAACCCATTCAGGGTGAATCGACTCTCACTCAATGACGGAAGCTCCATCATAGAGGAGTTGGAAGAGGCTCTTCTGTCTCAGAAAATGATAAAGTTCAGCCTAAGGATCCACTGAGACACAGATCACATCTGCACTGCCTCTCTGTATTTAGAAAATAATTGTGTAAAACTACATTTGTGATGATATCGGAGTAAAGGTTGGATTAAAAATGGCTCAGATAATGAGAGGTGGATGATAAAACCCAGTAAGTAATGGAAGGGTCAGAATCCTCCAGCATCAGCAGAGAGATCCACTCAGGGTTAAGAGTCTGACCTGGGATTGAAACTTCGACCTAAGATCAATAGCACCAGCATTTAAAAGATAAAAAACATCCCCTTGCAATATATGGGAATAGGGTTACTTTTTCTGCTCACCAGATGTCAAAAAAGGAAATCAAAATCTCATGGAAATCTTAAAGTTTCTCTCTAGAAAATATAAATTAAAAATCATAATATAAGCGCAAAATAAATGTTGCAATTTCTGTTTGAATAAAAGAATTCGTTAAACATACTGCATGTTTTTTTCCTCAGTCAGCGGAAATAATAAAGTGCTTCGAATCTAAATCTTTGAAACCCTTCGCGTGGCATCAGCTCTGAAGTGTGTGTAATAACCCCAATGCATGTCTAACAGGAGCCTCATGGCAGAAGAATCGCCTGACGTCTGAGAGTCAGTAGGAGTGCTTCATGACCGAGCGTCCGCATGCCTCACCCTCAGAACTCTCCTTATGAGTAAAAAAAGTTGGCAAGAACCCAACACAGAAAACAGTTATGGGTGCAGACAGCAGAGAGGCTGACATCACCGCTTTGGTTTGTTTTCTTGAGCCGAATACGACGGAT